TTCCAAGAACCTCCTTCCAGAACTCATATCTTTGTCTCTTTGTTGCTGGCTCCTCTTTTGCTGATATGATCTCTTCTTGGAGTAGGAATAGGAGTGGATCCAATAGTGTCAAAACAGAAGCTGTTCATGCTCCTCCAGGAGCAGCAACWACAGCTGACGCTCCTCTGTTAGCAGCAYCAGTCAATGCTCCTCCAACAGCAGCAACAGTTGCTACTCCTCCAACAGTCGATGCTTCTCCAGCATGAATAATTGATGCTCCTTCAGACACCCCATCAGCAAGATCATCAGGAAGAACAGTTGAAGCTTCTGAAACCTCCACAACCAATCATTGTTCCATTTCTTGGAGTTGTTGTTGTCTTTCATTCTGCATTACAGCAGTGATTAGATTTCTCACTTGCTGTGATTTTGTTGGATCATCCTCCTCAACAGGCATGAAATATGACAGAGCTTTCCTGTAGTATACCAGGGTGGAAGCTTGACAGGTAGTAGAATCTGTGTTGGTACCTGGATCCTCACATCTGTATGCTTTTATTGCAAAGAACCTGTAGATATGATTGGCTGTTATTTGGCTCAGCTGCTGGTGTGTGATCAGAGTATCAGTAGCAGGGGAACACATATCGTATTCCCCACCTCCATTATTGCGTCTATCATATGGTGCAAAATCCATGAATTCAAGAAGGAGCACTGAATGATACTGACGTCATTGCTAATAATTTGTCACATCTCTTGGGGGATCACAGTCTGCCCCTGTCTTTTGTGAGCCTTGCGGCTCCTTGCTACTCCTGCTGGTGGTGCTGGGGCCCTTGTTCTTGTCATACTAGTTTTGGGTGTTTGCTAACAAGAAGTTGCTTGTTCTTGATTTCCTTATTACTACTAGGAGCTTCATTTTGTGAGCAAAGAGCTGAATAGTACAAAGAAAAATCTGAGTCTCAAGCTCATCAATACTTTACAGTGCAGGAGTAAATACTACGAATATCATAACAATTGATCAAGTTACTAAGAAAGTGGTTCCCATCGTCGTTAATTTAATGATGCCATCCTTAATTTTTTCAGTACAAATTCTACAGAGCTCTACTGAGTGTTGCTCCCCAAAATTTTCAGCATGTTTTGCCTTCTGAGAAAGAAGCAGGATTGGTTCTCTGCCACCAGAATACTAGTTGCAAACTACCTCAGTTCTACATTTTGTACTGCTGTGTTCTAGTACTGGGCTAAGGATGGCATCACTAAATTAACAATGGGAACRACTTACGTGATCAATTGTTATGATATCCATAGTATTGAAGTGGGAGTTGTAAAATGGTTGCATTTTTAGTACATTTTGGACTGTTTTGCGCAACCAGAATAGGCTGGGATCATATTTTAGAAATAGGTACTAGTAGTAGTACTTAGTACCGTCCGGTATGGAAGCAACCTAAACCCAAGTGCTGATACGGTTTCACCGTAGAGTTCCTACCACAAAATATGTAGAACATGTGA